GTGCTCCAGCGGCGCGGCAGCAGTGGGAGGCCCCATTAGCTAAAGTGGTGCTTCAAGTTAAGAACAGTTTCAGGTTAAGTACAGACCTCCGGAACGAATTAAGTACTTAACCCGAGGTACCACTTTATATATATATATATACACACACACACACACCTACATACATATATATGAGAGAAATAGATTATTATTACAATTTATTGCCTGCCCAACAATTGAAACACAATATTAAAAACTGTTTGAAACAGCTTAAAATTACAGAAACAAGGTGGGTCCTAAAAAGAGATACATACATACATACATACATACATTCCTTCCCCCCCATATTTGTGTGCATATACATTTTCCCTATTATTATATTACTTAATAGGGTTGCTATATTTCAAAAAGTGAAAACCTGGACCTTATTATTATTTGGCCCAAAGTTGTTGAGCTATGTCTATATCTGATATGTATATATCTTTTTCTTGGGTAGAGTCGTCATAGCGATCCATAGTCCTCTTTTGTGTCCATGTTTTGCTCTTCAAAATATGGCAACCCTGTTTTTCCGCACTGACTGGCAGCAGCAGCAGCTCTCCAGGGTTATGCCAGTGTGGGGTTGAGCCTGGGACTGTCAGCACGCACTCTGAACCCCTGAGCTACGGAGGTCTTTTGGACAGCGGGTGCATATATGTCTGTATAGTTGTGAATTTTATGGTCTTAAGGTAAAGGTAAAGGTACCCCTGCCCGTACGGGCCAGTCTTGACAGACTCTGGGGTTGTGCGCCCATCTCACTCAAGAGGCCAGGGGCCAGCGCTGTCCGGAGACACTTCCGGGTCACGTGGCCAGCATGACATCGCTGCTCTGGCGAGCCAGAGCCGCACACGGAAACACCGTTTACCTTCCCGCTAGTAAGTGGTCCCTATTTATCTACTTGCACCCGGGGGTGCTTTCGAACTGCTAGGTTGGCAGGCGCTGGGACCAAACAACGGGAGCGCACCCCGCCGCGGGGATTCGAACCGCCGACCTTTCGATCGGCAAGCCCTAGGCGCTGAGGCTTTTACCCACAGCGCCATCCGCGTCCCCTTTTATGGTCTTAGATATATGGTAATGTTCATAAGTGTACATAGATCAGCACAGGAAGACCGACCTGGAACCATTTTGATTCCTAAACTGAGCAAATGTTTTCTCTGCAAGGTCAAAGTGGGAAACCTCCCCATTGTCTCTTTCCTCACAAATCTTGTCTTAAGGGCACATTTAAGATATGAATAGGGTGTGAGCCTGTGACCTGGCCCAGGAACTGGTATTTATCATTACAAAAGACTGGCCAGGCTCCCCAGGAAATCCAATCAAGTGACCTGCCAGACAAGAGATAAACAACGGACAGGAGAAAAGCAACACTCAAATTTCTGTTTTAGACCGCCTTTTCTGTGATGTATCTGAGGGGTGGTCTTAGGTTACACCCCTTCTGTGATGTATGTATGATGTTTCTGGGGGTGGTCTTGATCTACAGGGTGGCAATTTCAAAAGTCTTTCTAAGGCCTTGCACGCCATTTTTCTGGGTTCCTCCTCTCTCCTGCGGGTGAGGAGAGCACCCTATTGCAACAGATTAATAAAGATCAGGCTTACTAGCTGCTTTGATTCTCAATATTCTCTGGTTGGCCTCTGTTATTTTCTCTGACCGTTGGAGAACCTAACCCTAACCCATAAGGGAAAAGGGCAATTTTTGTTTACAACACAGTCGTGCATTGGAAGTCGAACGGAATCCGTTCCGGAAGTCCGTTCGACTTCAAAACGTTCGGAAACCAAAGTGCGGCTTCTGATTGGCCCCCAAAACAATGCCGACAGCTGAAACAGATGTTCGGCTGCCGAAAAACCTTTGCAAACCGGAACACTTACTTCCGGGTTTGCAGCATTCAGGAGTCGAATTGTTCGTCAGCTAAGCCGTTCGGGAACCAAGGTACCGCTGTATCTAAGGAGTAAACCCTACACAAATCCATAGTGGGATCCCTAAGATGGTTGGATGGTGCCTTGTATACCTCCTTCCAGTAATTCCTGCAGCCCAGCTGGTGCCAAACATTTTGCTCTGCTTTCCTTTGGACCACCGATATGTAACAAAGGAAATCCTCTGTGTTGCAACACAGACAACTCTAAACAATCACAGGCAACACGTGGCTAATAATGTTCTAACAAAATATTTGTAACATGTATTATTTCAACAATTCTTAAACAGAAAATATGTTACATCATTGCCAGCTGATGAAGAGTTACTATCGAAACTGTTCTATGTTTGGAGCGTCCATTACTGCACGGTTACAGGATTGTGACTGTTGAAAGGATTACAGTCATACCTCGGGTTACAGTCACTTCAGGTTGCGTTTTTTCGGGTTACGCACCCAGCAAAACCCAGAAGTACCGGAATGGGCTGTTTCTAGGTTTCGGCGGTCACGCATGTGCAGAAGCGCTAAATCGTGCTTTGCGCATGCGCAGAAGCGCCAAATCGCAACCCGTGTGTGCACAGACGTGCCGCTGCAGGTTGTGAACGCTGCGGGTTGCGAACATGCATCCCGCAGGGATCACATTCGTGTGTTTTTTTTAAGATATTTATTAGAGTTTTCAATTTTTATACAAACAAAGAGAAAAAAGCAAAAAATAATAATAATATTAAAAACACATAAATTTCACAACTTATTTTTCAATGACATGTTTCCCTGACCTCCTCATACCTCCCCTTCTTGTATTTCCAGTTCAAATTATTTGTTCAGCAAATCCTTATCTCAAAGCATTACAGCTAAAAAGAAGTGTGCATGCACACGAGAGCTCATACCAAGAACTAACTTAGTTGGTCTTTAAGGTGCTACTGGAAGGAATTTTTTTTGTTTTAGCTAAAAAAAAAAACACACCTTATTTTCTATCCAACATCTTAGGTTATTATGACCTTAAATTTTTACTTATAAAAAACCATTTTTTCATATCCCTTCGCACGGATCACATTCGCAACCCGAGCGTCCACTGTATTTGCCTCTTTGATACTGATTGATTACATTCTCTAATTTTGTTCATGCAATATTGATTGATTTTCATTATTTGTGACTCCATTACATATTTTATGTTTAAGAATTGTGAAATAATATGTGTGACAAATATTTTGTTAGAACATTATTAGCCCTGCGTTGCTTGTGATTCTTTAGAGTTTCATTTGGACCACAGCAGCGAGGCCGAGTGGGGGGTCTTGTTATCTGGGCAACTCAGGACCTCCAGACCCACTACCCAAGCTTGCGCCCAGGGGAGGTCACTTCAGTGCTCCCAGTGCAGTGGTTTGACCTTGCACCCCCAGAGGGGCACTCCATTGTCTCTCGAGACAGACGGGTGCCAACAACAAGAAGTCCGCCCAAAGTGGATGGTCCTTTGCTAAGAACAGTTCCAGTTACTTTTCGTGTCTGCAAAGGGAGTTTGCCGTTGAGACAAAGAGCGGTTCTTTGCCCGAGGGTAAGGTGAGGCTCCGACCACTTGCTCGGCACCACGTTCTTCAAAGCGACGATTCGGTTCCAGGAAGGATGAACCGGCCTGCAGTGGCTTTCAAAAAGCTGGCAGATGTTTTAGGATTCTCCACCATGAAGCAGCCTAGTAATTGGGAGAAGGGGCTAGAAAAAGAAAACAAGAAAAAGTTGTTGCGCTGAGGGTTCTTGTTGTTATTTAAACTCAGGGGGTCCAAAAATAAGAAACGGGTGTTTTGTTTTGTAAGTGTTTATAAAACTTGTTTTTCTGGAACGAACAATGAGAGGATTGTTTAAGGAGGCCTGCGCCAATTTGGTGCCCTCCAGATGTGCTGGGGTTGGAGTCACGCAACATCTGGAGGGCACCAAGTTGCTGAAAGCCGGTTTGAGGACAAATTAGATTCGTTTGAGGTTCAATTAAGCCTGCTCATCAGACAGGGATTAGACAAATTGGGGGGGATCAGTCCGTTGGTGGCTTTGTCTCTGGCCACCTTGCAACCCTCCCCACCCCTTAAGCATATGTGGAACCTCAGGCCAAGCAGATGAATGCGGCCCCCAAGCCTCTCTGTCCGGCCCTCAGGACTCTCCTCAGGCCACACCCCTCACCAGCCCTGCTCCACCCCTTCCTTGAGTGTTTCTGCCTGGCTGGAATGTGTCCTTGAACTCTGCTCATGCCTCTTGCTTGCCAGATGGAGGTCTGCGTGCATGTAGAAACTTCTTGACTTGTGTCTGGAAGGCAGCCAAATTTACAGAAGAGTCACGTGCATTGCTGCGCTCTCTTTCTCCTGGCCCCCAGAAGGTTCCCAGTGAGAGGATGTGGCCCTAGGCCTGAAAAAGGACTGCCTGCCCTGATATATGGAAAGGCGGTACAGTATCTAAAATTGATCCAGTTAGATAGAACTTCCAGCTTCAAAGGCAGTCTATCATTGATTACTGGATGCCCAAGACAAATGGCAGGATCCAACATGTCCAGCTGGTGAGCCAGGAAGCTCAACTGGGTCAGCCCTTGGTCTGAACCATCACTGGGGATTCTTCTT